ACAACGCAAAATCACAGTGTACAAACCAAACGCTGTCGACGCCCCAGGGAACCCGAAGGAATTGTGGCCATTCCAAAAGGCATGCACCCTCGCGAGTGGCACTGGAACCGCAACTGACCCAGTAATGACACGGCAACAAAATACAAAGGCACTCATCGGACACATATGCACATAACGCAGATCAACGCACAGTGCGGCGGGCCGTCATGACTGGGAGCTGCACCAGGCGCGCCGCCGGGCGGAGCTACTATCCGCGAAGTGACGGAAGAACGCCGCTAAGCGCGCTCACCGCCAACTGTGAAGAGCCGAGAGCCAGGCTCCCCCACGGTCTACAGAGCGCCGTTACGCCACGCGCGACGCCGCAACATCGGCAGCGCCACGGACTTCCCCGTTGGCCGCCACAGCACGAAGGCCGGCACAGCACGGAGGCCGCCACAGCACGAAGGCCGGCACAGCACGGAGGCCGCCACAGCACGAAGGCCGGCACAGCACGGAGACCGCCACAGCACGAAGGCCGGCACAGCACGGAGGCCGGCACAGCACGGAGGCCGGCACAGCATGGAGGCCGGCACAGCATGCCGGCTGCCGCAGCACAGCGGCCGGCAACGTCATCGCAGCACACGGTGCGCCGCCGTCGGCACCACGGCGGCATCTCATATCACACCCCAGGCGCCCGCCACGGCATCCGACATGACGGCGGCGCGCCCCTGGGAGACCCGTGGCCCGAGCGTCGGGACGAGCGGCCGGCTCCGCGCCAGCGCGGAGGAGCCATCGGCGCCAGCAGCGGCCCCGGTGGCCCTGGCAGCACTCGACGGATCACCCAGCACAGCGTCACCTGCACCACATCGGACACGACGGCAGCCGACCGCCGCGGGGTTCGCTCTAGGGCACCAGGTGGACGGGTGTGTAGCGGCCCCACCATCGCTCGGTGTGACAGCGTAACCATCCTCGCCGGCAGTGGTCGTTCAAGTAGGTAGCAACTGTTTTCCATGCATGTGTAGCTTAATGAACGCTAATATACGAGGTGGAATAAAAAAGTTGCAAAACACGGTTTATATATGAAAAACATGTTCCGAATCTTAATTCGGCTGTCATGTTCTTCGATGTAGTCACGCTCTGCAGCACAGCACCACTGCCTGAGATGCAGTCACCTCCTACATCACATCACCACTACCCACGATTCTGTCACGCTTTGGACGCCCATTAAACGTTCCTCAAGCGTGTCAGGCACTACCCGCGATTCTGTCACGCTTTGGACGCCCATTAAACGTTCCTCGAGCGTGTCAGGCACTACCCGCGATTCTGTCACGCTTTGGACGCCCATTAAACGTTCCTCAAGCGTGTCCTGGCACCATCCGCGATTGGCGCCTGCAACCACGGTAACCAAAAACGGCGGACTCAGCAGCTTGTTATTTATATTGGGCAAGAGGAAGAAGCCGCCACGGACCGAATCCCACGGAGGGCGGCAGGGAGCCACGACGGTGTTGGTGCGGCTCAAACCCACGGAGGGCGGCAGGGAGCCACGACGGTGTTGGTGCGGCTCAAACCCACGGAGGGCGGCAGGGAGCCACGACGGTGTTGGTGCGGCTCAAACCCACGGAGGGCGGCAGGGAGCCACGACGGTGTTGTTGCGGCTCAACCCCGGAGGGCGGCAGGGAGCCACCAAGGTTTTGCTCTTTGGGCTCAAACCCACGGAGGGCGTCAGTGAGCCACGGCGGTTTTGGTGCGGCTCAAACGCACGGAGGGCAGCAGGGAGCCACCACGGTGTGGTGCGGCAATCAAGCCCCACGGAGGGCGGCAGGGGGCCACCACGGTGTTTGGTGCGGCTCAAACCCCGGTAGGGCGGCAGGCAATCACCACTGTGTTGTTTGCGAGCTCGAAGCCCACGGAGGGCGGTAGGGAGCCACGACGGTGTTGGTGCGGCATCAAGCCCACGGAGGGCGGTAGGGGAGCCACGACGGTGTTGGTGCGGCTTCAAAAACCCCGGAGGGCGGCAGGGAGCCACGGCGGTGTTGGTGCGGCTCAAAACACTCAAAAGCAATGTTACACATCTGAGGTACTGAAACACGCATCATGTGTGATGAAATAATCTCACTTTAACCTATTGGTGCACTTTTAGAGTGTAAAAGGCTGATCTATACAGCCCATTTCTCTGCTTAGTAAATACGGCCCCCAACGCGTCATGATTTGATTGTTTCATCGTGCCTTGCACAACACCGCGGGCCAACTGACGGTCGTTATATCTGGGAATCGCGCTCATGAACGCCAGATACGAACGCCTTGACAATTATATCTTTTTTGGCCCTGATTGCCGCATGGCCTATGAAATAGCAGGATTTGAATGTCCATTATTATAAGGTGATGAATTCCAAGGTAACTGTGAAATACTCCCCCTGACATACTTTTCCCCATTTTCGCGGACGTGTAGATCAGAAACTAGAGGTGCTTAGATCTTAAGAACGGCAGGATTGTAAATAACACTGAAAGGTCCTCAAGATAGCTGCTTTTGTTCAAAACCACACATAAATGTGGAGCGCTCCCATTAATCTACCCGCAGGTGAAGTCATAAGTAACGTCAGGCAGGTACCTGGTGCTCGAAGAACTGAGCCCCCAGGACATCAATTAATAAGTACCATGCATTTTCTCGAACCGCCACATGGTGAGCTTAAGCCTGTGACGATCATTGCGAATGGTTGTCGACCCGGTAGAAGAACGCAAACATGACTGAAATATCACGATGGCTACAAGCAAACTGAGAAAAGACAAGATGTTGATCGGTGAAGGAACGGAAGAAAACGCTATCGTAGCAAAACATATCCACGATAATGCGTTTGAGAGTTGAAAGTGAGTGAGTGGCAGATGGTGCGCTGGCAGGACCGCGAGGTCCGGCAGAAGGTCCGTAAGGTATTTCATCTGCTGAAATAAACCGGACTGGCTGTGAGTTTTCAAATTAATTTCGGGATATGATCTGATCAGGCCTAACAACATGGCCCTCATGTGAAGACCTAATCATTAGATGGTCGCACGCTCCTGAGCCAGTACGATCATGCATATGCATAAGCAATCCGTGTAATGAGCCTGCAGCGATGAACGGCTTTAGTAATTGGAGACGTAGATTGGGGGGACATCGCGGGGTCCTCTGCCAGGCTTTGAGTAGAATGACCTAAGGTGAATAAAACACGTTAATCTTCAGACACTTGTTTCAAATTAGACACCAAAAGATTACTGAGGTCGCCTGGTGTGAGCACATCTGGACACAAATGAACATTCATTTGGCATGTACTAGAACACGCACACTGTAGACGCATGACACAGTTCGATCCTCGGCAGAAAGTAGCCAAGGTCAGGCACCTGAATGAAAAAGGTCAGAGGAACGATTGATAAAACGCCACATTCCGCTCTGCTCCGCCATGGCGAGCGTCCATGTATTTGCACTTAAGGGATATAATTGCGGCCAATACTGTCTCGGGCACAACTGTCCATGCGAGAACGATCTATTCCTTTAAGCCTGATTCACGCAAAGGGCAGAAGTGATGTATTGTGTCGAGACATTCTCTGCAGTTAATCAGGCGCAATAGGCTGGCTTCTCCCTGTCGTCCGACGACGAAAGGTCGTCGTGACAACGCCGATCAGCACGCTCCCATTCGAATGGCATGACCTACGTCAGACCTGATTTGGGACAAATCCCGCTCCCAGAAAGGTCAGCAGCGACCTGGCGCTCAGGTTAATAACTGTATTAACTGTAGGATGGGAGCGTTGACATTTTTCCCTCACGTAAGACATAAGTTGATGTGGGAATGTCACCGTAGAAAGAGACTGAATTCTGCTGCTGCCGATGTCGCCAAGTCCTTGCTCATCCGCGTAAGTAAAGCTCTGTACATCGTCGGAAGGGTTCGCCGTCCTTCCACGTTTGTTTCCGCGCCCTCAGTATAAGAATAAATCACACAAAATCCCCTTATGCAAAAAGAGCAGGACCATGTGAGCTTTCGGCGAAATCTTTCGCCCCCCCCCCCCCTGGTAACCTTAGAAATATGTAGCGATCCACAATAGCGCATGCTTGTTCTTAATTTTACATTATCCACAAAAGCCGCATACACGGTAATCCACCGCAGCCCAGAACAAATGCCACACTGCTCCCCTTGTACTTGCCTGGTTCCTTGTGCATCAAGGATCAGCAACCATACGGTGCTGCAGTCTCTAAGGATTTAATATTTTATTTCAACATGCTGGGTGTATACAATGGAACATGCACTTCATTACAGATGACAGAGGAAAAGAAAAGAGTTGTACGCCTCACTAGCTTTTGGAAGCTTCGACGATTGGCTATGATAATTCATGCAAAGACGCTTTCAACATTTCGATGCAACTCTGGATATGACGTTATGCAAAATGCATGTATGATATTGCAGAAAAATTGTCGTCGATGCTAATGCAATATCGGGAGTGAAATAGGACTTGGTCAAGTGTGCGGCACTCAAATCCCGGCATAAGTGGCGGCATCCAACACATAATCAAAGTGCAGAAGCCATGAGCTAATTTACTGTGAGATGTCTAAGACTGAAGCGCCGTACATATTTGCCTACGAGGTGTTCGCAACACCAGTCTTCATTTCACACTGGCCGCCCACTCTGGCCCCAGCATCAGCTCACGCCGAGAGGCAAGGAGGCGTCACAGATCGCTGGAGAACTCACCTGATCACAGGAGCGGTCCGGGAAACGTGGCCCACAGAGAAGAGAGGGCGTCACAAATGGCTTGAGAAATCACCTGATCACTGGAGCGGTCGGGGAAGCGTGGCCCACACAGAAAAGAGTAAGAGGGCGTCACAAATAGCTGGAGAACTCACCTGATGACGTCAGCGGCGGGGAAGCGTGGCTCACACAGAGGAGAGTGAGAAGACGTCACAGATGGCTGGGTAACTCACCTGATCATAGGAGCGGTCGGGGAAGCGTGGCCCACACAGAAGAGGGCGAAAAGGCGTCACAGAACGCTGGTGAACTCACCTGATCACGGGAGCGGTTGGGGAAGCGTGGCCCACGCAGAAAAGAACTGCATCATCCGTCTCCCGCACGTGCAGCGCCGCCGACGAGGCCACGATCCGTGGCGGGCGGCCGGCCGGCTTTGGCTCTGCAACAGGCCGGCATGAGACGGGAAGGCGGCATGTAGCCAAAGCCGGAGCAAGTGTGGTAATAAAATGGGACAGGACTTAAGGTGACGAAAGTGGGTCACTCAGCATGTTTGATGAATCCTTTGTGTTGTCAGCGATAGCACGTCCGCGCAGTTTGGTTAGGTGCAATAGCACTAAAAAAAGGAAAGCGTGGATCCCGTTACAGCAATAGGCGAACAGCTATCTTTCACTACAATGGTAAGTGAACAAATGCAACCAATAATTTTTGGTCGCCATATCACAGCGATTGCATCCACCAAAAATTGCTACTGAAATAAAGACAAATAATATTTTACCTATCCATTCAGTATCTTGCGTTTTACAAACAGGTCGGCAACAACGTCCAAAAAACTGAATCTTTGTGATTTCTTGAGAAGAAGTTGGAAGACAATTTTTTTTGACTCGTTCTGAGAAACATAAAGCAAGAAAACTTTTTAATAGTAACACCAATTCTTTTAGGAAGCAGAAATAAACGTTACTTGGTTCCGACTTGGCGGAAAGGTTATACGTATAGTTCGCTGCCTGCTGTATTGAGGAGATGGCTTCATAACATCCGTTTGGTAAATATGACACAACCGCCAAATGTATCGAGCGTTGCGGGATATATCCATGTCAGGGAGATCACCTGGACGTTGAACCGTTGGAATTGGGATATAAATCGGCATTTTGCAATCCATATTGCGAATGTATTGTTAAATCGCTATATCACGAAGTGTCCAATTAGCATCCGTGCCGAACCAGAATGATCAACACAGCAGATAATATTGAAACATTGCCTGTGCTTACCATGGAGGCTTGTGAAACGCCAGATGCCCAATAATATGTCAGGCATCAGGTTGGACAAACGCCGTTAGGCTCTATGAGAGCGCGAGCAGGCGGTTTGTGAGTGCGAACCGACGGTGTTTTGAGTGCGGGCAGACCGCATGTCAGCACCAGACGGTATGTGAGCGCGGGCAGACGGTATGTGAGCGCGGGCAGACGGTATGTGAACGCGGGCAAACAGCACGACAGCACCAGACGGTGTGTGAGCGCGGGCAGACGGCATGTCGGCGCCAAACAGCGCGTGAGCGCGGACAGGCGGCATGTCAGCGCCAGACGGTGAGCGTGGGCAGGTGGTATGTGAGTGTGGGTAGGTGGTATTTGAGCGTGGGCAGATGGTATGTGAGCGCGGGCAGCAAATATGTGAGCGCGAGCGGCAGATATGTGAGCGCGGACCGCAGATATGTGAGCGCGGGCAGCAGATCTCTAAACGCGAGCAGGTTGAGCGCAGACAGACGGTGTGTGAGCGCGGGTGGTCATCATGTGAGCGCAGACAGACGGTATGTGAGCGTGGGCAGGCGGTATGCGAGCGTGGGTAGGCAGCATGTGAGCGCGGGTAAGCAGCATGTGAGCGCGGCAGCTGGTATGTGAGCGCGGGCAGCTGGTATGTGAGCGCGGGCAGGTGGTATGTGAGAGCGGGCAGGTGGTACGTGAGCGCGGGCAGATGAAGGGGAAGGTGACCTGACGTGACCTTTCCCGCCCCACCCACGTCCACACTCGCCGCCATGCATCATTTAGTGATCCGAGAGCCGTTTAAATGGTCTGCTCCTCCGTCCCGAGTTTTCACGGTGGACCATCTGTATGGCAGCAGACCCCTCATAACTCGCGAGTGAGCCCGTTAAGAACTGCAAGCTGCATCTATCGGGGAAGAGGCGAACTACCGACCAAAAAAGCCGTCCCTGCGAGCCAGACGGCCGTGGTCTCTGTCACAAACGTTCGCACTGTGACGCGCGACTCCAAATGAGGATGTGCCCTTAATTCAATTGGGCTTCCCTGCCACCTCAGCCCACCAAAGGCAGCAAGCCGATTGTACGGCCGTAGCACGCTAGTGTGATGGGATTCGCAGGAAAGACACAAACCTGGGTCCGCCTAGGGGTCCGAGAGCAGAAACGGTTCCTATATGGTGCAAACAAGGGAAACAGAACTGGGTGTGTCAGGCACATTATTCCTTTGCCCAATACAATAAACCTCGACTGATCTGGAGATCCCAAGGTATCAAAGCCTAGCTTTGCAAGTGTGGCAGCCGCTGCTGCTGCAAGTTGCTGCAGCTGCAGCTATCTTGCAACATTCTAAGCAATGCAAACAAGCTGAGCTTAAAAATTTCGTGTCACCATTCCCGGAGGATATTTCACAACAGGGATAAGCAAACAAGCTGGTTCCGGGAAAATCTAATTAGTGCCCCTTGCTAGTTACCGGCAAAATCTAGCTGGAGGAAAAAGGGACATTCGTAGATGGCTTTATCTAACTACGCCTTACTCGGCCAATGAGCCTTAAATGAGGTCAGGAAGACGTTGAAAGATTTGGGTCAGTGTACTTGTTCGATACATTGGCATCTGTCTGTCTCTAAATACGTATAGCATGTCTAAAGGTTTGTAATTAATCCACTCGGGTGGTCCACATTAATCCACAAGTCCGGGTGGTCAGGGTGGAGGAGGATGAGGGGGAATTTGGTCCTCTGAGATATACAAAACTAAGAGAACTAAAGGGACGAACTTTAAAAGCTCATGTAGATCTCTACAAAAATGCATTTATCTCAAATATTAAGATCACTAGGTATTGTCCTTCAGGTCAAACACGATCGAACAAGTCCAAACTTGATATTGGTGTCTGAAGTGTCCCCAGACCTCCTCATGCAACCAGCTTCAATGAAGTTACCTTTTCTAAACAAACGTCACTCGAGGTCATCTCAGTTTAGTGATATCTGACCTTCAGAAGGTTACTCAGTCCGTTGCACTTCCCTGTGATCAAGGACTTCGAATCGTGCGTTAAGAACTACCCCACAAAGCAAGTTTTGCCAGAAGGAAACCCTGATTTTGACCTTGACCTGACTTTCATGTCTGATCCAGTTAAAATGATTAGTTGTTCTCTATCTAGTATCTATTTGTATTTGTCTGTATGATATAGTTGTACTAGAGATTAGTATATGTATTTCCCCACAATGGCCTCATCCAACAACCGTGTCTGACTCCGACCTGTTGCAGGTCATAGGTCCTAGGGCTATATTCAATTGTCAACCAAAACGTCAGCTACTCAGTTGTCTAAAGCAATACAAAAGTTGGCGTTACAACGCCACATTGCTGGAAAATTATTCAGGAAGAAGACCGTGGTGGGTTCAAACTGACACCCGACTCAGCACGTGTCAACGCTTAGTTGTCATTCCAATTATGCACATTGCACAATCAAGGTGTCCAACCATTCCATGTTCAATTAGCCGCAACAGATTCACACTTGTCACCAAAAGCCAGACGGTAAGGGAAGCATGACTGCAGGTTGACACAGCATAACAGAGAAATGCGTACCTTCGACAATAACGGTGGCCAGTCGTTCGCTAATGACGTGTTCATCCGTCATCATATGAACCGTCCTGCACAAGTAGCGGCCCATGACGTCATCGTGGGTGACGTCACGGACGATCAGCTCCCCAGACGGCAGCATGTGGTACTTGTCATCTGCCGCAGAGAAGACGCATTCGGCGTGAGGACGTTTCATTTTTTTTCATTTCACTCTCAATTTTCAGGAACGCCCGTCAATCTCATTGATGAATGGCTTCCTCTCGAAGTGCTCCGACGACGTTTCTAATTGAAACACGTGGCGCCGCCGATTATTTGGAGCCATACTTTAAATCAAACGTCAATCACCCACGGCAGATTGCAGGCACTGTCTGACTTACGGAGACAGTCTGAGACCATTGGCAGCGATTTGTGGCCGGACAAGCCACCAGATTACGATATTTTCGGCCTCAGCTCGAGTGCCGGCCCACGGACTGTCTATGGATTTAGAACCACAGACAATCGACCAACGGAACATCCCCCTTGTCTGGCAATGAATCGGCGTGAGTGGCATGTAAAATCGTAACTTCGATTCATGAAAATGGATACTGACCATCCATCGATGGCTCCGCAAAGGCGCAAGTCAACGGGTTGCATGCGAACTCACGCTGCCAAGAGCCAGAACCATACGCAAAGAGAACGTTGGAGTTCGTATGCAGCCCCGCTTCTCTCCGGGTCCCAAACAACTAACACAGGACAGTCGCTGGTGTTCCATGACGCCGCTTGGCCAGCTGCCGACCCCTGCCCCCCCGAATAGTTTGGGCTCTGCAGGGCGGCCCGCGCCGCCGCCGCCGTCTGCCACACCGGGCGCCGTTCAATAGACATCGGGCGCAATATACGGCCGTCGTCCCACCATTTACACCGGAGGAAATAAGTTGGACGGGGCGGCGGCCCGTCGGTGGCGAACAGACAAATGGCGGCGCACGTCGACGATGAGATACGGTCACCGCCGCCGCCGGGCCGTGTCACTCTTCCTCGCATCCGGACACGGGATCCCGGGACACCGGCGGCGGCAGGGAAGGGGGTGGCAAGGTTCCCGAGATGCTGGCGATGGGCGAAGAATTGTGTGAGGGACCTCTGGACGCTGCTGTTGTTGAAGAGGCGAAGGAGGGGATGCAGGGACACCACGGTGATTTCAGAAGTGGAGAAACGCCGTAAGGTGTTTGAGAGGGTAATATTCATCCATCTTCATTCTTCATTACCTTGGGTAATGAAGAATGAAGATGGAATGTGATAGGGAAAAATGTGGATGTCGATATCAAAAGGAAACGAATCGGTCCAGGCCATGTGTGAGCATTGTTCGCATAGCACGTCAGAATCAGAGCCAGGGGATCCCGGACTGGTGGGACTGAAGACAAAATTGCGTCGATAGTATATCGTCGATTAGAAATCAAATAAGATATGGAGGTTGTGTACGGCCAATGCATGCCACGCAGCACTGAATTCATTGCCGGGGATATGAGAGTCGTATATCCGGTGGCGGATACCGGCCTCAGCCTAATCTCGAACGGACTGGAATCGGAAAGACAGACGGCTTCTTTACAAGTCATCCCGAGGTAAGCCAGCCGATACGTTTTCCAAGACGGGCTGGCAGAGAGATGTGCGGCACCGTGAAAAAATCACGCCCAGACGTTGCATTATGTGGTTTTCGAAGACTTACTCTGCTATCTGATATACGACCAACGCCTGACCACGATAAATGCAAGCATTTTAAGATCAAACACAGTGCAAGATTTTCACGCGCTCATCTTGTCAGAGGCGCACAGCAACTTGTGTCAGTGGCACTAACACCCAGCAGTCGACAGCCGGGTTCGTGCCGCCCCACAGAGCTGCACCTCCCCTCCTCCCCGCCCCTCCCCCCCCGTCGGGATAAGGAACATCAAGGCACTGTCCTGTCCAGCTGATCATGGTCGGGCCACGCCGCCCGTACGCCCTCCGAGCCTGCTCCTCTCTGGGCAGGCTCATATCTCGCCGGGTAATGAAGTGCCACCGGGAGCTGCCACCGGCAGCACATCCCGCCGATGAATCTTCCGTGGCAGGCTGGTGGCTGGCCGGCGGCGACCGCCAGCCACAGTCACGTAACAGGCTGGCAGAGGCTCCACTAACCATTCCGGAACAGGACACGTTACAGACTTGCAAGGACTCCACTGGACATTCGGGTGCAGGCCACGTAACAGACTGGCAAGGGCTCCACTGGACATTCGGGTGCAGGCCACGTAACAGACTGGCAAGGGCTCCACTGGACATTCAGGTACAGGCTACGGAAAAGGCTGGCAAGGACTTCGCTGGACATTCGGGTGCAGGCCGCATAACAGACTGGCAAGGGCTCCACTGGTCATTCGGGTACAGGCCACGTAACAGACTGGCAGGACACCACAAAGAACACCACAAGTCGGCGGGACACCACAAGCTGGCACGACCCCACAAGTTGGCAGGCCACCACGATTGGGTAGGATATCCCGCCACATTCTCAGACGTCAGCCGCCTGACAGGGGTACAGGTCTGGTACAGGTCATGCCACATGACAGGTTGCCAGAAACTCAACTATGGGCTGGAGCACACGCCAGGGCGCATAAGAGACCAGCAGAAGCTTCGCCATGGATTCAGGCGCACAAAGAAGTGCAACCAAGGGGCCGCGGGCGCGTGGAGCCTCAGACCTCATCCTTCCCGGTCCCCGCTCCGCCCCCCCCCCCCTGCCTCGTCAGGATCGAGCGCATTTTACTGCGATGTTATTGCGCATCATTACACAGCCCAATGCTCAGCAAAATTATAGTGTTCTTGCTTGCATCTTGTGAGCTGATGTTTTTTCTTGTGAATTGGGAATTGTTATAAATAATTACGTATATCATTGAGTACCATGGATAGAAGTCGTGTGCCGCGCTCGACAGCAGCAATTTAGGTTGTCAGACTATTGAGTGGATATGCAAGATACGCTTGCGAACCAATTAATTTCGGCGCCGGGGAACGTCAACACTCAGCGGTCAACTGACACGCTAGCCACTGTACCAGTAGTGCTTGTGGTATTTGCAGCGTGCTCACGGTGCGCGGGTGCTGTGAATGGGGATGGGACTCGGCCCTAAAAAAGCATGTGCACCTCCGGCGCAACTTCTTGCTGTGCCTCTGAATACATAGCACATCATTTAACGAACCGATAGAAACTATGGGCTTTCCAAAACTTACGTTATGCATTCTTGGAAATTTGCAACCTCACCCCCATGTGGTTATGCACTTGTTTCGAAGGGCGAAAACCCAATCCATTTCGTTTTGTTGGTCTTTGTAACGCCCCCAAAAAGTAACCTCCGTCTGTGCCCTAAATGAGCTAGAGGTGCAAAACTCAGGCGGGCATGCTATGTGTCTAGGAATGTGCCAACGGCATCAGGCTATAGGGTTTAAAAATATTTATAAAAAGGCTTGAAAAACACAGTCCCAAACCTGCATAGAAACACAAATCGACATAGCCAATGGCACGGGTCCACGGACATAGGCCTGAACACAGACGCTGGCTCACACATAGACACATTATCCCGACATCCATCTGGTTTTGCGTTAGGTCAAGAACGGCACTAAATCCGAGGCCTGATTTTGACTAGGGCATTCCTGTCAGCCAGCCGAGATCGCTGCCCGACGAGACCGAACAGTCAGTTCAAACTGGGCTCAAAAATACTCCTCACACCCGGTATGATGAAACCCTTGCCTACACACCCGCAAAGAAGCAAATTACGAGATCCGCAAACGTCAACAGACCGACGGCCTGCGAGCCGGAAACATAGCATGGGCCGCATCACGGCGAATGATAGGCTGTACCCTGGAGTGCTAGCTCCAGTCACACGCCCGTGCAGCAGCTGCTCCTGGTCTCTATGTATCGTCTGTACCGTGGAGCGCTGGCTCTAGTCAAATGCCTATGCATCAGCTGCTCCTGACCTCCATAGATCGTCAGTACCGTGGAGTGCAGGCTCCAGTCACAACGCCCGTGCAGCAGCTGCTCCTGACCCCATGTATCGTCTGTACCGTGGAGTGCTGGCTCCAGTCACACGCCCCGTGCAGCAGCTGCTCCTGACCTACATAGATCTTCGTGAGCCTGTGTACCGTGGAGTGCTGACTCCAGTCACACGCCCGTGCAGCAGCCTCCTGACCTCCATAGATCGTCTGTACCGTGGAGCGCTGGCTCCAGTCAAATGCCTATGCATCAGCTGCTCCTGACCTACATAGATCGTCTGTACCGTGGAGTGCTGGCTCCAGTCGCACGCCCGTCAGCAGCTGCTCCTGACCTCCATGGATCGTCTGTGCCGTGGAGTGCTTGCTCCAGTCACACCCTGTGCAGCAGCTGCTCCTGACCTCCATGGATCGTCTGTACCGTGGAGTGCTGGCTCCAGTCACACGCCTGTGCAGCAGCTGCTCCTGACCTACATAGATCGTCTGTACCGTGGAGTGCTGGCTCCAGTCCACGCCTGTGCAGCAGCTGCTCCTGACCTCCATGGATCGTCTGCACCGTGGAGTGCTTGCTCCAATCACACACCTGTGCAGCAGCTGCTCCTGACCTCCATGGATCGTCTGTACCGTGGAGTGCTGGCTCCAGTCGCACGCCCGTGCAGCAGCTGCTCCTGACCTCCATGGATCGTCTGTACCGTGGATGCTTGCTCCAGTCACACACCTGTGCAGCAGCTGCTCCTGACCTCCATGGATCGTCTGTACCGTGGAGTGCTGGCTCCAGTCACACGCCTGTGCAGCCGCTGCTCCTGACCTACATAGATCGTCTGTACCGTGGAGTGCTGGCTCCAGTCAAATGCCTATGCATCAGCTGCTCCTGACCATCTGTACCGTGGAGTGCTTGCTCCAGTCAAATGCCTATGCATCCGCTGCTCCTGACCTCCATAGATCGTCTGCACCGTGGAGCGCTGGCTCCAGTCACACTCCCGTGCAGCAGCTGCTCCTGGCATTCATCGATCGGTTGCAGATATTTACGAATGCATGCTTACTTATCTCGGCTTTACTTTTGTTGTCATGACACCCCTCTTACACTCCCCGCACATTGTTTGTGACGCACTGCTAAGCTCAGTCCACAAGACGTACCCCACGGGCTATCTCCATCTTGTATTTAATCAGACTTCTTCAGGTATTTT